AATTAAGGGAGAAGAAGGTAAATGAAAAAGAAATAGAATGCGCCATCTCGCACCACTCAGTGACATACATAAACATCAGGGAAATTACCTATATTTATAATAATGATGACGTGTATCCGCGTGATGCCGCCAGTGTATTCCCCTTGCACCGTCCATATGTGATTATTACTAATAATTACGTACAATTGACCTATCTACGTAACAATTGTTGCGAAGGTCACCAATAGGTATGTGTGTTTCGTCAGTTGATGTTTGCGATTAGATAACGCGGCAACTTTTCTCAATCACTGACGGCTCGTTAACTGGGGTACATTTGTGCATACTTATTACATCCCCCACGTTGTGCTGCTATCACGAGATGCACTCTGCAACACCTCCCGATGTTACCTTTCAAATCTTCAGGAAAACTGATCAGTATATACCTTCCTATTAAGGTAACTTGCTGGGATTTAACTTATCATTAAAAAGCAATTCACAAAAAAAGTTGTTTAAAAATTATTTACTGCTGTAATACGGTGTCCAAAATATCAATTTCTGTATTAATTTCGGTTACATAATTTAATTTAATAAATAATTCTTTTTACGAAAAAGTTATTTTTCCGTTGTTTGATCGGATATTTCAAGTAAGAAGGTGAATTTTCTACAAGACATATAATCTTGTTAGGATCAAGATCGTGAAAATCGAAGGAGCGTAACAGATTGTCCGGTTGTAACAAACATAAACACGCACATCGAAGTAAAGCAAAGAGAACAAAGCCTTTATCAGTAGACAATTATGTTTTGTGTCAGATTATAACATGTGAAGCAGTAAAGCCAATTAGTGATAAAGGCAGTCGTACGGAACAAGAACGAAAGCCCCAACTACAAATTGCCGTATAATTCCACGTTGTTTGCCGTGTGGGAGACACCTTGTTACAGTATCCGTCCATCTGCTTTACCATAGTCAACGTCAAGTGAATTATCAAAATAAAACGCTACCTATCATCTGAAACGTATTTGACACTAACAGTAATAAATACTTATTTATAATTCTGTTAAGGTAATTATCGCAGGGTAATAATAAAAGCTGTTTGAAGGGTACAACAAACAAACAACTTTTATTTGCTATTGGGTAGCTTCCTTTTAGTGGGAATAAATGGGTGGTACTTGGGGAGAAATGACGAAATGAAGATGGATGAGAAGTGGAATAATATTAGAAAATACGACAAATGGCGCTGTAAACGCCATCTGTAGTACAGTGCTACATTTTAGGATTACGTATGCTTCAACAAGGTCCATTTAAATATATGGATATCTACTTGCTGAAACGAATCCCGGCGTAGCTTACCTCAACGTGGTAGGCACGTTACCATAATCGAATAAAATAATTCGAAGTGGTCTGTATTCTGTCGAAACTGCCAGACGCGGATCGCGATTTCGATCTCTTTGGATCTCATCAGCGCGTCGCAGGCAGTTTCGACAGAATACAGACCACTTCGAATTATTTTATTGGAATAATATTGTTCTATATTTGACCAAATGCTTCGAAGAAAACACAGAAAAACTTGGACCTGGACAGGTGGACTAAAAATGTTAAGCTATGATCAACGCTATCAGACCACGTATATTCAGATTGCAAAAATTGTCGAAATGGGTGAGTGGTGCAGTTTAGGGACACAAAACTGAGATAGTGTGAAGAAAACAGCAGAAAATTGAAAGATTACCTATGAAATACTACTTCTCCAATATTTGCCTGCACCATATCAAGGAAGATTAACCCTATAATACTCATTTATATATCTAGATAGGTACTTATTACCTATGGTGAAGGATATTTGGACATAGACTGATGAATGAAAACAAAAACTACGAGATTTTCCAAAAGTAATAATTTACATAAGACTTTACCACATGGGAAAGAGGAAGAAACTGTTTTTCTTTATTCTCTTACCATGCAACAAAAGAATATTTTAATTTTAATCTTTTAGAAGCAAGATCTAAATTTAAACTATCGATACAAAATATCTGAAGAAATTTCGTTAATCTATCACGTCATTCAACATTTTCAAAGTACTGAGATGATTTTCGTGTACATATGTCTCCCACTAGCATTTCCAAACAAGGCTTAATGTTTAAAAACATAGAAAACTCTTGAAAGGTTGATTTTGATGACTTCCTTTAATTTGAATTATTTGAAATATTAGGTACCGTACTAACTTTTCAGTAATTACGTTGAAAATTATCAACGGCTACGAAACACTATTCTGTACGAGTCCAATCTAATCTTGACTTATTTCAATGAAAACTAAGAATTTAATTAAACGCCAATTAAATAAGGAAAGCAATATACATTTGGTTACAATCCTACATCCCACAATTGCATTTAAAAATATTTTTAATACGAACCGTTTTTATTCCTCCTTTCCACTTATATAACGATTATACCTAGGGTGACATCTTTCTACCTAATAATACCTTTTCAGGAAATTTATGGGCAAATACCGATACTACTGAAATTGATAGATTTGAGACCAGGTATCTTGTGGTGTTTATAAAAACTTCTGCACTCCCTCCGATGATAGAAATAGATTATTCCATTTTAAGAACTATTATAGAAAGATTTATATGTTTGATGAGCCCTTTTAAGATAATTATTGAAAATCTGAAAAATTTTAGATACCCGAATACACTTTATGTTATTTATTCTGCATAGTACAGGTGGAACCGTCTCTTTCAAATAGTACTACTAAATCATTCGTATTTCCGACAAAACTTATTTTTATATTTTGTATAGGCGGATGATGAGGATAACGTGGGTAGAAAAGGTTAGAAATGAAGAGGTATTGGAAAGAATAGGAGAACAGAGGACTCTATGGAAGTCAATAAGACATAGGCGAGATAGGTTGGTAGGACACCTTCTCAGGCATGTCAGATACATATTAGAGGCAGAAACAGGCGTTAAGAGGGGTAGAGGTAGACCTAGATTAGATTACTATTCGCAAATAGTTAAGGATGTGGCTGTTCTAGTTTTAGGGAAATGCGAAGATTAGCTCAGGATAGGAAAGAGTGGAGGTGCGTGTGCAACCAGTCTTAGGACTGACGACCTTATGATGATGATGACGATGATGATAGGTGAATATTTTATCTCACAATGAAAGGTAAATCACTAAAATTATGAAATCGAGAATGATACGATAGTAAGACAATGCAACCCCGTGATAAGGCCCCTAAAAAGCAGAAAGACATACTTTAATAAAAAAACTAAAATATACTTTTTGAATTGAAAAAAAATACTTAGGATTCTCTTCCGAATGCTTGGTCATACAACGGATACTTGAAGCATAATGACCTCATGAAGATGCATCATAGTGTTCATCCCTGTTACTTTTGAAAGAATACAGTAGGTCGATAGACTGCACCGTGTGCGCGCTCTGTATAAATCTTAATAAACGGGGAAATATGTGGCGATAAATCCCAATTTCCCGGCTGAGATACGTCCTCATTAATCCCAGGACGGACAAGACACGTCGGACACGGCCGCGGCAACATCTAGACCATAAAGCATTTCCATGTTTCCGGATATCATTTCCATTTTTATAACTGTGCTTGACCGTGACACGCGGTCACTGTCACGCGTTTGGCGAACCATTTAGCAATATAAAACAGCAGACCATTTAATTTGTGTTGTTTCACCCAAGAATTTCATTTATTACGACCTTGATTGTAGCGACCATTTTGCTATAGCGACATTAAATCTAAGTCCCTTGAATTTAAAGGATACTTTAGTACAAAATTCTTGTAGTTATAGCGACTTCGGATGTAACGCCGAGTTCGAGTGTAGCGATTGTTTTTAATGAATCATTTGTAACAAATCCCTAGTAATCCCATGCAGATATAGCGACCGGGGTCGGCCACCAAAAATGCAAAGAGCTTTCTTATCTTTTGTTAACATCCACACACATGGTCAGCAAGTACGGTGACCTTTATCGTTTGTTTATAGATGTTATACGTTAAAATAGTTCAGTTACAAAGTGATATTCTGAGTAGCAACTGTTTAGCAATCTTTTGAATAAAAATGACTCCTTGATGCACATTAGCTGTTAAAAAAAGGCGGAAATCGTTTTAAAATTGAAAAATGGTGAAAATTATATATATGTGGCTGTATCTCTATACCTTTGCCTGTAACGACTTCCGGATATAACAACGAAATTACAGTGCAATATTAATTTGAAATCATTTTTTCGATTTTTTATTTACCCACTACAAACTACCTCAAATTAATGCTGGAAAAATTGTTGCTGTTGTCACACCCCCACCGGGAATCGAACCCGGGACCTTTGGCTTTACGCACCAATGTTCTGACCACTAAACTACGAGAGGTGACATTAATTTGAGGTAGTTTGTAGTCGATAAATAAACAATCGAAAAAATGATTTCGAATTAATATTGCATATTAATCCACTATTAAGTAACTAACAATGTCATAGGATTTCAGAAATTACAGTGGTCCCTTCGTCGTCGTTATACCCGAAATCCACCGTAAATACATTTAGTTACATTTACATCTGTCATATACCTCCGCAACAAACAATTTTATAAAAGTAAAGCATGTGGAAAATTGAAGTAAAAATAAAATATGGGTCACGTAAATATTACACATTTTGAGAGAAGTATCGTCCGTATATCAACGTTAACATACGAAAATTTGCTAAATCGAAGTTATCAAAAAGTTTTTAGTTCTCTAATAGAAAAATGCATACATTCATTCATTTATCAATTTTTGATTAAATCTTGGCGACTTAAAAATTCAATTTAATTTTTAACGAACTACAATGAATATACCTATAGGACGCGTGTATATGCACATTAATAAATGATCATGAATGGACTTGTTTTTGAAATTATTTAGAAGATTGAATATACGTATACGCGTGTAGAAAAGAGACGTATTCATCATATTATTTGTAATGTACACAACGTGTGTCAACATAATTATATGCACTTGTGTGTGGAATGATGCGGACTCCTACCGTAGCAACTGTAAACAGTTTTATTACGTTCTCATTTAATCCTATTAGAAAACGAGAATCTACAATCAAATACCTACTACGAGAAGTTGTATTCTTTTGACACCCTACGTAATAGTGGTATTGAGAGGCCTTGACAGGTGTTATATAATCACCGATAGATCTACGCAAAGTCGTTACAGCTATAACATTCAGGTATGATTTTAAAAATAAAGTATTAACAATAAATACATCGTAGATATATATAAGTACTTGTTGATTTTTTTATTTAACCTCTTTAATGTTGATTATTAACATGAGAAAAGTGGCTTAAATGTATCTGACCAATCGATATCTTGTTTATGAGTCGATATTTCAACGCTGCAAGTATTATTGTATGCATATGAATTTTACGTCAAGTATCTATACGAATACATCTGTACATATATAGCGTGTTGCGCAATAAAGAGGTCATTAATATCAATTCTATTAGTTTTATACAACTGTAGGTCAGCGGCGGAACGGAGTGTAGTATTGCTAGGAATTAAAATAATTATTATTGGCTTTTTTCAGCAACCTTTTGTTTTCTTTATTTTTATTTTCTTTCTATATATAAGTTAGCATTTTATTAAAGGAAGACCCTCACTTGTAATGAAAAAGACATTGTCTCGAATGTATTATTTTTTTTATAAATAATCATGCATAAGTAATTATAAATAATTAAAACCACGGCACAGGTAGATTTTACACTTTTTATAGTTAATATAAATAAAATACTTTGGTAAAGGTCTAGATGGGGGATCGAAAGAGGAGGTCTCCCCTATCACTGGACCATAAAAAGTTCGTGGAGGTCTCACCCCCATAAAAAGTTATGGGGGTTCAAAGTTAATAAACATGCCAATTGTTATACATTTCTAGGCATGTAAATATTTATATAGTCATTCTTAAACAATATTCAAAGGTAAAACTAATGGAAAACTGCATAAAAATATTGAGAAAGTTATATAAAACATTATTTAAGTATCTTTATCAATAGGGTAGGTTAGGTTAGGTTATCGGGTTTTGTTCAAGTGACCACCCTCTTTCGATCCCCCACCTCCACCCGCTTCAAAATAATTTTTTTATTGAATTTTATTTGAATTATAGTGTATGAAAATTGTCAAAATAATCAACTTTTAACC